CACACACACACACACACACACACACACACACACACCACCTGGAACCAGTCAAAACACTTATCTGATTAAACTATGACTCAACATCTTTTATGTTTCGTGAGGAGGTGTTGAGAAACTCTGAGTTGCAGCTCGACACAGTGAGCGAGTGACAGATATTTGATAGAAACAGGAAACACTGATGGTTCCTGTTCTCATGCACACACAGACACACACACACAACAGTGTCGTGTTGTCTGTTGTGTACATTCGTCTGCAGCACAGTCACATGAGCACGTTTACAAGATAAAGGGTTTTAAAATGTGTTCGTGAGGCGTTCAGACACACAACCATGATGTTTATCCTGACAAGAGTGTAACAGAACAGGAGACAACACTATACAACATTACATAACATCACACACAACCACACAACAACTCAGGACACGAGTGAACACAAGACAACACAACTCATCACTGGTGCAGAAACTCCGAGTTAGTTCATGGTTGTCCCATGTGACGGGCTGCTCTCTCCTGATTGGCTGTAGAACAATAACAAAGAAGAGCGGGAGGAAACATGGAGGAGGAGAAGAAGAGGAGAAGAGGAGGAGAAGAGGAGAAGAAGAGGAGGAGAAGAGGAAGAAGAGGAGAAACATGGAGCCACAGACACTGAATTAATCCTGTGAAACTGATTGAATATGATTTTATAAATCACTCAGCGGCGGAGACGGTTTGTTGAAGCTTCATTTAAAATGTCAGTGAACACTTCCTGTGAGGAGACGAGTGTGTTCAGGCTCCTCGGTGAGTTTATTTAAATCCATCTGATCATTAACACTTTAATGATTTAACACTTTAATGATTTAACACTTTAACGATTTAACACTTTAATGATTTAACACTTTAACTGAACTGAGTGAAAACGTTTGTTCAACATTCATCCTGGTGCTCGAACCACATTTAACCACATGACGTCTGTGACACGTGACAGAGTAAAGACCTGAGGTTCGTGGTGATGACGTGACAAACACCTGTAATAATAATATGTACACGAAACACATCTGTCACTTTCCCTCCTGACACGTGTCACGTGTTTAATCATAGTTTTCATTGGGCCACACATTCTACATCTGCTGTACGTCTGACTGAGTCTATGTGTGAGGCGTGTCCTCGTGAACATGTGTCACGCGTGTTCCTCCTGTTGTTTCCCCAGCGGGTCGCGTGGTGAAGAGGCCGAGGCAGGAGGATGGTCAGCGGCTGCAGGAAGCAGCGATTCAGCTGCTGGAGCAGCAGCAGAACCTGAGCCGTCTCCTCAGGGAGGTGTCTGTGAGTGAGAGACCGTCCTTCACTTTACATCATGTTATAGCATTGACTGTAAATACACAGGTTCAATGTCATTCACCGCTCTCGTGTTGACCGGAGTTCAGGAAGCGACCAGAACCCTCGTGAGTATGTTTGTACGAGCAGGAAATGAAATGACAACTAAAAACAAAAGTCAAAGACAGTTCAGGGAAGTAGAACGGATTTTAAAGAATAATCAAAGCTCACATCTCCTCAGGTTGGATCCAGTCGGAGGACTGAACTCGGAAGTTACTGACTTTTCTCTAATTTGTTATTAATGTAACTCCGATGTTGTTTTGTAGGATCACGATCGGTGCCGTCAGACTGGAGACCAGAGACCTGCAGCTGGAGGCATCACAGGGTCTCTGCTGGGTGAGTGTTCGGTGCCAACCAGCGCTCGACATCAGTTTTACTCGTAGACTGTAAATGAAGATGGACGATGTGACGGCCTCCTAACGTGAAGCCAAATCACCTTGATCGCCCCCCTGTTGGCTGGATGCAGTATAGGTCATGAACCCTGCCTCCTCCATGTTAGCAGATGGGACATGAATCGAACAAAAAAATCAGAGCAGACATTTTTCTTAAACATGGTGTCTGTTATTTCAGGAAGTGGTTTTACACATCATGTCTTTGTTTTTATTCACAATGAAGGGACAAGAATCATGAGAATGGTTCCTGCTCAGAACGGGGGTTTCACATGTTGACAGGTGGTGAATGCTGTGATCTCCAGCATGTGTTGTTTTACTCACGGACAGAGCGTGAGCTGAGGCGTCGGGCCACGGAGCTGGGCGTCCCGGTGGCCGTGCTGTCGGTGAAGTTGATACTGGAGAGACTGACGGAGATCACCGCAACTGAAGGAGACGAGGACGAGAGGCGAGAGCTGCTCACTTCCTCTCAGAGAGTAAGTATGTGACAGTGGCATTTTCATTTGTGGTATAATCCAAGATGAGCATTCAGTCAGAGCCCTGCTGCAACATTCTTGGTCTAAAGGAGCAGTCGAACGTTTACCAGCAACATGTCTGAGTGTTTCGCTGCAGCTCTCAGTTGAACTGTGGTGCAGGTTTGTGGTCATAGATCCGTCCGTCCATTATCTACACCACAAATGCTTTGAAGGCTGCAAGGGCGGATGAGGTCGTTCCCAGCTGAGACTCTGTGAGAGGTGGGCTCCACCCTGGACATGTCTCAACGAGACTCAGAGACAAACAAGTCCTTTACTCTCACGCAGTCGATTTATAGTCTCCAGTTATACTGACCCCAGTCTGCATGTCTCCGGACTGTGGGAGGAAGTCAGAGAACCCGGAGAAAAAACCAAAACAGAAGTCACATGGGTTCTTCACCCAAAACTACATGTGCACTAATTTTTAAGTTTTTAAGAATCAGTATGTTTTTATTTCCTGCAAGCGACCAACTGAAAAAAACAAAGTCTCCTTTGTCTGTCAGCATCGTTAGTGTGATACATCACTGTCTTCTAGCTCATCTCTAATCTCTAATCTCTAATCTCTTCGTGGCCCAGTGAAGTGCAGTGTTGAATCTGGACATGTGAGACGATTCTGTGAGTCGAGCTGAACTTGACAAACAGGTGAACAGTGTTTGGTTCATCTGGTTGTTAGTTTGTTTGTCAGCGAGATAATGTAAAACCTACTCAACATAGTGACATAGGAGAATTTTCTCAGGGACATATTCGTGGATCTTGAGGTCAGACTTCTGATGTATTGAGAGGACTCATATCTATGAGCGTGTGAAGTTTCTAGTATTCTAGTATCTAGTTTCTGCTTTACTCCGATCTCCTGAACATGCTGTCTGCCTCAGTGTTGTGTCTGTTGTGAGATCTGTGTGTAGTTACTGTTTCCACTGTGTGAGGTTGAGTCACTTCACTTCGCCTCCCTGCTGATTCATGGTTCGGTTATACCAGTTAGAAATTACAGCTCAGTGCTTCACAGATCTGCTGACAGATGATTACATTGCTCACCATTGTTCGGTGGAAGCAGCAGGAGGCTCCACCCTGACTTTGTCTTTCTTCACTACGTGATCCTCGTTCAGAGCATGTTTTATATTAAAGTCCCGTGTCTGTCCTCTTCAGGTCCAACTGTGTGTCCTGCTGGAGTCCAGCAGAGAACTGGTGTCACAGGGAGCCCTCTGCCCTAAACTGCTTTGGCAGGAGTACAGGAGGGATCAGGTGTGTGTGTGTGTTCGCAGCATAGACTGTACATGAGGCCTTTAAATGGCCTTTACTTCTCATGACCTTTTACAACATTTGAAATTCCATTGACAGGGTTTCTACGGGTCTTTAAGAAATCCAACTGCATTCTCATTCTCCTCTGAAGGTCCCAAGTTAAATCACGTTGTTCTGGCTTTGGTCTTTTCATGAGCTTTGAAGTTGGATTGTGAGGAAAAAAACATGGACGCCGTAAACAAAAGGTGTTTTAATTGGATGTTGAGAGCGTTTCAACGACACTGTGTGATAATGTTTATGTCAGAGACACGAGTCAAAGAGCAGGAAAAGGAAAAGGTGTGGCCGACAGATAAATCCTCTAAAATGTGCATGTCAGTCATTAAAACGTGTGTATTTACTAAAAAGGTGTTTGTTGCTTGTGAGAGATGAACAAAGTAAAACTAACCCTCGACTCGACTCTTAAACTAAGTTTCTAATGTGTTTTTTTACAGAAGCTCCCCACGCTGGAGCTGGTGATGCATCTTCACTGCTGCAGCATCCTCTCTCTGAAGTACATTTTAGAGACGTGAGAAAAGTTTGTTTGTTTTTCATCCAGATTTAAGAAAACTCGTCTTGGGCGTCAGATTCCGCTGCTGTGGAGCGCGTCGGGAACATCCAGGGATCAATGTCACGACTGCTCGTAGAGACAGAGACAAAGAAAGTCCTTTGGGATTTTAGTCTGTTAATTCGCCGAATAACTGAATTTAAACTTTCCCCTGAACTCTAATGGTTCAAATGTGAAAACCATTGAGATATTTTATTTTAAAAACTAAAGCCTGACCAATTTATCGGTTTGCCAATTTTACTGTTGACTTATCAGCATCTTTATTTATTATTTAAGTTTATGGTTAAACTGTTAAAAACCAACTGTTTAAATTTTGTGTTCGATTAGTTACAAGTTGTGCAATTTCAAAAAAAAAAAAAAAGTTCTGTTCATGGAAGTGTGAGGTTTTAACGGATCCTTTATTCAAATCTAAAAATTCAAATCATATGACAATGTTTTTAATGCACAATGATGACAAATCATGTAGATTTAACAATTAGCATCATTTCAAAGTAAAGCAGAAAAGACGGAGGCAGATCAGAAACTTTATTCTTCATGGAATTTACAGCAGGAGACACAGTTTGGTTTTCATAGCAGCTCTTTGGTTGTAGTAAGAAACATGCTGAAACATTTCCCTCTCTCTCTCTGTCTCCGTCGTTCAGTGATGAGGGCGTGAGGGTTTGGTTGGCGTCTCAGCTGAAGGCTCTGTGCAGCTGGACGCCTCCGCAGGAGGACGAGGAGACCGAACAAGTTCAGCTCAAAGTGTTGTCAAGTAAGAACCACAGATTTCAGTGTTTCAGTCTGAAAACTGAGTTGTGGCACATGTGAAGTTTATTCCTTGTCCCTGCTTACGATGAATATGAGACAGGATGTGGTGTGTTTCCAGCGGTCGTTGGCGTCCTGGTGGGATGTGGCTTTGAGCTGAACTCTGAAGCTGCAGCTCCAGAGCGGAGGAGGATCTCTCTGCTCTGCTGCTCACTGCTCGATGAACTGCTCTTCTGTGAGTCTGCGTGTCTCTGTCCCACTTATTCTGTCCTGTGATGATTAAATATTTAGTAAAGTACTTTGTTTCACACCTCGGGGCGATGAAAGCTATTTTCTACTTCTTAAGACATTTAATTTGAGTATTTTCCTCTTTTTTGCTTTTTGAACATGTCACTTTTTTCCTGTCATCCTTCTCCAGGGCTTCTGGACACTGTGGACAAGAGTCTCACATCACAGTCGGCTGGAGCAGGACCTGAGCTTTGGTTCTTTGCTTTTTGTATTTTTGTCTTTGTCTCTTTCTGAAGACCTCAGTAGAAAAACGATTGCAAGACAAAGATGGAGAACATACACTGATAATTAGCAAATTACAAACACTCATAGATTCCAGTCCCCTCAAAAAACATCCTGTTTCACAATGTTAAAGAAAGTGATAAAAGATCTTCTGGATCCACACAAACATGGAATGAGTTCTTTCTTTCTGGCCTCATACATGTTGCTGACAAACAATGAAAACATTAAAACCTCGTGGAGGTTATTAATCGAGCCAGAGCGACACACCAACACTGGTGGTCCATCGTTAACGACAGTCTGTGGTGTGTGACCCTGGCTTGATTAATAACCTCAGTTCAGTTTTGAGCTCATCATCAGCTTCGTCTGGAGCTTCATGTCGACCCTCCCTAGATTTTCCTGCTCACCACAGAACTTTTCAAGTTCTGCAGTACGGCAGCCGACCAGGTGATTTTTAGGTTCTGCTCAGTTCTCTGTAAACTCTCGACAGCGCGGTGTAAGAACTCGTTGCGTGTCTGGTCCTGAGACGCTGAAGCTGTGCACCTGGTGCTCACGACCACACTGTGCTTTAATCATCGTAACTGTCAGCTCAGTCTGCCCCATGCACACGGAGTCACAGCCATCGTTTGAGTCTGTCTGCAGCATTGAGCCGTTTTGCTTGACATTACTTCTCTACTCTTTGTATCGTGCAGGATTCAAATATTTGACGCTTCATTATGCGGAGTTTCAGCGTCAGCCGAGGCCGTTCGGCGTTTCTTCACACACTCCCTCACTCAGGCTCTGACTTATAAGCCTCGACTCACAGGTAAAGACAAGTGAAAGATTATTTTTAACAGCTTGATTTGCTTAAACTGATCTGACAAGAACTTTAAATGAGGTCAGAAAATTCAGGCTTTAAAAGATGGTAAAATGAAAACTCTAAAAACTCTGGGAGAGAAACAACTAAACCATATTTTCTCAGTGTCAGACGCCATCGCTCTGCAGAACGACTGGACCTTTGCGAAAGCCAACCCCTTGTTAATGTCTCTTTTCCGTAAGGTAAATATTAGTTTCAAGAAGGTAAACGTGCAGGATATTAACCTTTATATGTTTTTGTTTATGAATAATCAGCCGAAACAAAGAATTGTGTAGTTTTGTTATGATGATCCATTATTATATCATGATACCTGAAGACTGTAGATTTGAAGCTAATGAAAACTACGATTCTCATCATTATGTTTTTTATTATTTCACATTCTGCTCTTAAAGGCTGTTTGTGTCCTCGGACCTGTTGACTGGTCTCTGTCTCTGTCTCAGCTGGCTGTGATCTTCAGCGTGGAGCTGCTGCTGCGTCACCTGCAGCAGGTTCTGGAGACGCACGAGGTCAACTGGAAACACGTCCTGTGCTTCCTGTCCACGCTGCTGGTTTATAACCCCTCGGCTCCGCCCAGCCTCAGAGGTAAACAGGAAGGACGGAGCCGCGGGATTTCAGTGATTCCTGTATTATTGGATGAACGTGTTTTATTATCCTTACAAGCAATTCGACCATTTTGATGACAAACATTAATGATGTGTGTATTCACAGTCACTCAAACATAAAACTCACTTTCATCAAGCTGCAGATTCAAGCTTAAATAAGATGTATTATTTCTTTTCTGTGTCTGTGCTTCTATCAGAGCTGCTGTCCCGGCTGCTGACTTCTGCTTTTGAAGGCTATGACTTGGAGCACATGATAACGGCCTTCCTGTTGGCTCGGCAGGGGGCGCTAGAGGGAGCCGGCATCTTCTCCTCCTACAGCGACTGGTTCAAGGTTTCCCATCATTTTAGTTTTCACCAGGGTCGTAAACATAAATAAATAAGGATTCATTTCTTTCTGTGGACGTTCAGCATCGTGCTGATTAAAATGCTCATTTGTTGAATTTGTGGCTTTGGTGACTCTGATATTCACATTGTTGATATTGATGCTGTTTGTGTTGTACTCCCACGTGCCTGGCTCTGCCTCTTCAGATGTCTTTTGGTGGCAGCAGTGGCTTCCACGCATCGAGTAAGAAATCTCTGGTGTTCCTGTTGAAGTTCCTCTCGGACCTGGTTCCTTTTGAGCCCCCGCAGTACCTCAAGGTGACACGCAGCAGCCCTGTTCTCTGCTCATCATGGACAACCTCAATGTGCTGGATACTTACATACACGATGTGTTCCCCTTTTAGATCAGACCAGGTTTTAATGACGAGCAAAGAAGCAAAAACATTGTGAAATTGTTATAGATAGAAAAACAGCACGGGCATATGACAGTATGTTCTACATGTGAGGAAAATAAACATTTACAAATACTTAATATTTGTGCTGAAACGTTTTTCACCTGTTAGGTTCATGTCCTCCACCCTCCGTTTATCCCTGTGAAGCACCGCAGCCTCCTGATGGAGTACATCTCTCTGGCCAAGACCAGGCTCGCTGACCTCAAGGTACAAATTAAAATCCCTGCATGAAGGAATTTCTCTTCAACACAACATTTCTTTTTCTTCGTTTTCACATCGAAACTACAACATGCAACACTACGATGTGATGACTGTATAATTGTGGTTAGTGTCCCTGAAGTTCTGTCTGTCTGTCTCCATGTCCCCACGCAGGAGTCAGTGGAGGACATGGGTTTATATGAGGATATTTCTGGTGCAGGTGGAGCATCAGGATCAACACAGGTAACAGCGACACCCAGTGGTCACGCCAGGCTCCTTCATCTCCTTAAATCATTATTTATGTCGTGAGTTGTTGTTGTGAAGTTACTCTCTGTTATTCTAAGTTCTGCATCAGTGGTTGGTGAGTGGTGGGTTAATAAAGTTGTATAATAATATATATTAATGTATAATATGTCTGCAGCCCCAGTGCCAGGCTGTGCAGGATGTGGAGAAGGCCGTGTCTCTGTTTGAGAGCACAGGAAGAATCTCCGCCACAGTCATGGAGGCCAGGTACACGGTCAGATTATCACCAGACGCAAGTTCCTTAAAATCAAAAAGTAACTGACACCTGTCTCCTCTCACAGTATTTTCCGGAGGCCGTATTTCCTGACTCGATTCCTTCCTGCTCTGCTGAAGCCAAGAGTGGTGAGCACCTTCCGCTTACGTTGGTATAAAGTTATAAACAGAGGGGATCGCTGATTACGACAATTCTATGCTGTCACATATCAAACCTCTGAAGTGAAGTTCACCCATCTTTAAATTACAGCTTCCCGTGAAGGCTGACGGTCGGATGAGTCTCATAGAAGCTTTGAAAAAGTGAGTCTAGATTTATTGTCCATCAGTGTCTCTGTGGAAGAAAATAAGCTGCTTCTCAATCCCATTTATTTCTGATAAATGATTTCATTGTGTATACGTTCTATATTATGGTTCTGTTTTCAGAGCGGACAAGATCCCTGCCGCCCAGTACTCGTCTTACGTGGAGTCTTGCCAGAGACAGAGACGACAGGATAGTGGGTATCCTCCCGGTTTACAAAAATAGGAAGAGATTTGACATTGAGTGAAGTCTACGGACACGAGCTGATCTTCTAACCTTGTTTGAACTCATCCACTGATTTCTGTTATCGTTCGTGTTGTGTGCTGACGTGGGGTGTTTTCAGGAAGTGCCGTGTGTTTGGACGCCGCTGGCGATCCTCTGGAGGTCCTGAAGGTTCAGCTGCAGGAGTTCAGACGGCTGGTCGTTGATGGAAATGACGGAGGTAGGCAGATGAAGGGAAACACACACACACACACACACACGCTCTGTGGTTTGTAGTGTATTTTTTCAAGTAGTACTATTAAGGTTTTAGATCTCAACTCAAGATGATGGTCAAAGGTGTGTTTTCGTCGTTATGTTCTCGGTGGTTTCCTGTTTCATTTAGATTTATTTGTCTCAGTGGGTGCAGATCATCTTTCTCTAGATCCCCTGAAATGTTTTTTTTTTCAAGTCTGTGGAGTTTCTCACAGACGTGCACCACATCAGCAGCTTTACACTCACACTCCCTGACTCACACTGAGCCTCTGAATCTGTGAATCCCTCGTGTCCTCGTCTCTGATGCGTCCTCAGACATGATGGCGCAGCTGTCCAGGGTCTCACACACGCTCAGTGTCGTCTTCCCTGGTCGTCCCGATGAGCTCATCGGACAAACTGTCATCGAAGTTCACGTAGACGTTCCCCTGTCCCCTGAGCTACATGTCAAAGTATGTACTCATGAAGTACAGTCTTCTTCTGCTGCACCAGTTCATGTAGTGTGTGTGTGTCGTATGTTCATGTATTCCTCATATCCTCAGGTCATCAACATGATCCTCAGAAACTTCTGCCAGTGCATGTTAGACGCTTCTCGAGCAAATCCCCCGAATAAGTGAGTCTTTGAAATTCATACAAATATTCGAAGATCAACTTGATTGTTGCTCAGAATTATATAAAATAACGCAAATGTACAGATATTTAGCAGCTGTCCACTGTTTGTATCCGTTCAGACAGAACCCGTGGGCCTCCAGGTTTGTCGGTGTGCTGCTCGGCAACACACAGCTGATGTCCAGCCTCATACACAGACTCTGGGACCTGTTTCATAATCAGGTACATGGATTAATAATCACACACTCTCAACAAGACATTTTACTCAGCTGCAGGAAGAGTTCTTGAAATTATCTGGAGCAACTGAGCTGAACGTAGTAATTTCAGGAGAATGTTCGTGCATCTGAAAGTCAAGGAAGTCAGTAAATTGAATCACTCGTGTCACAAACCTCTCTTCGACCACAGGGCTCCGTGCTGAGCGCCGCCCATGTGCTCGGTCTGGCGGCATTTGTAGTCCACCTCCACGACTCCGCGTCCCACAGTTCTCTGATTCAGCTGGTCCCACCCATCCTGCCCGAACCGGTACCTGTTGGAGAAGCTCTGAGCGCAGCGCTGGTGTGCAGCACACACACTGACATGCTCTTCTGTGTCAGGTGAGACTAGATTTTTACGGATGGACGGTGACGCACTTTGCTGTAGCTGAAACTGTCTGTGACCATTGGAAGCTCCAGTGTGTGATGACGGTCTCTGGGACTCACGGTCTCTCTTTGTCCTGTTCAGGTTTTGTGTGGCAGCTGTGTGTTACGGGATCTGCAGAGGAGACTCGCTGCCTCAGCAGCAGCAGCACGACTTCGTTCCCAGCAGCCTCTATAAGAAGGTATCACTTCCTGTTACGTGCCAGGACGTCATGGTTTTCATGTGTTAATAAATTACTGTGAAGCAGGAGAGAGGATCGATTCAATACCTTCTTAATAAATCTTCCTAACAGCAGCATGTGTTCACAACCCTCCTGCTTTTGTTGTAAACCTGAAGTGTGATTGTGTGTCTGTGTTCAGCTCCTCTATCTCATCCCGAGACTTTTGCCCGAGGCCAGAAGGACGACCGTCACTGCCGAAGGTGCGGTGGATGAATCCCAGGAGAAAAACCTGTGGGGCAGTGCCACAGATGCCAGCGCCACCTGGAGGACGACCGCATGGCGTCTGTGGAGACACGCAGCTTTTCACCAGCTAGGAAACAAACCAGAGTATCAGGTAAGATGGACGTAACGAAGCCCGGGCTCAGAATATGATGATGTGAGAGAATCTCTGGCTTTGTTGCTTCTGTTTGTTTGTGAAAAGAAATCGATCGATGGATTTATCTCAATGTCAACAACCTTTGTTTTGTTTGTCAAGCTGTCGTTCTCTGATTGGCTGGTTAATGAGCTCAGAGTACAGAGAAGTGAGGACGCTCTGTCGGACCCAGAACGGTAAAGACAGGGAACACACATTCTCTTACAGGTGCCATTAGACACACAACAGAAAGCCAATACACTGTGTGCGTGTGTGTGTTTGTGTGTGTGTGTAGTCAGGAGTACCAGCAGTGGGCCTGTCTGGAGCTTTTCTGGCCTCGTGCAGAGGAGCAGGGCGGCTGTGGAGGAGACATGAGGAGCCTCTGCTCCCATCTCCTCGATGCCGTCATGGACCAGCAGTTAAAGTGGGTCCACATGAAAACGTGTGTCACGTTCAGTGTAATGCTGAATTGTAAAAAAATTGTGATTGTTAGTTAAGTTAAGTATGACACAATTAAAACAATAAAACTAATAATATAAAAACATATTAAATTAGAAAAGTGTTTTATGTTAACAGGGACCAGAGTCTGGAAAGGTTGCATCACCGAACCTCAGCCACCGGGACGTGTCTGCCTGACATCATATCCAGATTACAGGTGTGTTTGTGTGTTTGTGTATAAACAAGTTATAAACAATTAAAAAATATCATCGAGAGGATGTTTAATGAATCATAACCTGGAAAAAACAATGATGGTGTGTAGGAGTGCGTCTGTGAGATGGAGGTGACCGGACTCTCTGGCAGCCGGAGTGGAAGAGCTGACGTGTGTGACTTCCTGTTCGAGTTCATTTCTCGGAGATGCTCCTCGGCGGTGGGCTCGATTTCCGCGTCTGTCGGCTCGGAGCTCAGCCTGCAACACACGCTGAACACATGGAACAGGTACAATCACAGGATATGGTGTTTACATGGAACACTCAGTATACATATACATTACACTGATTTCTACAAATACACTCACCTGAAAAAGCACTTTGACGTTGGTATTGAACTAAAATGTCCTCACAACACATGCACACCTCACTCTGACGCCCCCGCTAAAGTGTAGGTGCCTCACTGACAAGTGAACAGAGAGGAGGACATCGCAGACGGAACATTTCCTTCATTCGCTCTGAATCCAAAGGAACGAATGATTCAATGATAAATTTTTGGAACATCACGCTCTGACGTTTCCTGTGTGACATCACAGAGTCCTGCTGGCGCTCCCACCGCTGCTGTTCGTTAAGGTGACGGCTGGAGGAGGGCGGACGACTCTGGACTGCACCACACTGATGGAACACGTCAACCAACATCAGGTGAGCTCTCGTTACATTCCTCTCTTAAACTCCATCAGCTGTCTGGGAACAGTTTTAGTAAATCTGACCTGTTTGTCCAATCAGAGGAAGGTGTGTTCTCCTGCCGGCCTGATGTCTTATCATCTGACATCACACTTCCTGAGGGTGAGAATCACTGAACTCTAAATATATATATATGTATATATAATAATATATCAACGAATGATAAACAGAGCTCCGGTGAAGATATGAAAACTGAGTGTCGGCTGTGTCTCCTGTCCAGGGCGTGTTGTCTGCCAGTGTGTGTTGTGGACGTCCCACGGAAGAAGTGAACAAGGCCTGGAGTCAGATCAGTCTCCACTGTCCTCTGCTCCTCACCTGCACTGTGGTACTTCCTGCTCTCGGTCGCTCACTGGATTCGACCCGTTTGCTTCTGAGCCAAATATAAATACTGACACTCGTGGAGAGGCTTTTTGTGTAGAAGATATTTTGACAAATCAGAGAAAATCAACCAATTCAGCTGCTTCAGTTTTTATTGTCACACAAGTCCACGATCAACTTCTCCTCCTCACAACCGCTCAAAATGTCAGCTTATAGTTGATATCTGTGTCTGTGTGTGTCTGTGTGTGTGTGTGTCTGTGTGTGTGTGTGTCTGTGTGTGTGTAGCACTGGTGGGAGCGTCTGTCTCCAGTGCTGTCATCACTGTGGAGTCGTGTGTGTGACGGGGAGCCTCTACCAGAGCAGCTGCGGCTCCTCACTGCCTGTCGTCACTGGGCCCACAGGTACAACCTTCCTCTCACGAACCTCCGTCTCTGAGTCTCTTCGCTCCGTCGCTGTTGAAACATTTCACTG